GGTGTTCATCACCTCTTGTTTTTGTTTTGCTTAACTTGTCTTATCAGCATTTATTTATGACCTATTGTGCTGCGCTATAGAATATGTTGGCTCTGTATATAAATGAAAATAACAATAATTGTTATATGACTTGGTATTCCTAGTAAGGGGTGATAATCAATTAGTCTCACACTTTCTTGTTGTCTTGCAGGCTTTTCGAAGTGCTTTTTTCTGCAATCCCTGCCTTTCTATCCGGCTTGCTGTGGTGGGTCCTGTCCGCACCCTGCATCCCCCACTGCTTTTCCAAGTAAGCCTTTATCCTCCATCAGTAATGCTTCACTTACTTTGTAAACCAAAGCAGCAGGATTTAATGGGTCCAAGAAAGCTAATTGGTGATGCAATGGCAAGTAGCTAATTCCTAAGAAAAATCACAGCAGTTTTATTCAGCGTCCCTTCCGAAGATTTATCTGATTTAAGTGCTCTGAACAATTGAAATTGCCCCAATAGAAACCAAACCAACCAAACAAGAGGCTAATAGCTTTCTTGTTATCAAGCATTTAACAGTTTAAGAACCAAAAAGCATGAGCCATGAATTCTAAAACCCTCTGGTACGCAACTGTCGAAAGCACAAGTGTATAAAATGTATAGCGGGAAATGAATATTTGTGCATTTGTATATATATATATATATATATATATAAAGTATTCAAAATTGTATAAAAATAACAGAATATATGAAGAGTGATTGTGCTCACTTGATAACAATTTGCAAAATGTTAAGCCAAAATAATGGTTTACTATATATATTTTTTTATATATATTAGGCTATATGGACCCTTTACACACACACAAAAATATTGTTTTTAAGTAAATTAAACATTTCGTTCAACTTGAACTGAAAACAAAATTTGATACGCATACTAAGCTATAGTCCCCAAAAAAGAAACATTTTTGTTCAAATAAAGTTCTGCTTTAAAAAAAAAAAGATTTAAAAAAAAAAATCATTAGAATAACACGTTATACTTTGCATTATTATTCTGTCCTCTGTTGCTGTTAATTTTATTAAGGTCTCTAAAATTTGTTGCTAAAGTGATTAATTCCTGCTAACAGAGGCTGTGACAGTTTAATGAGCTGCAAACTGATGAGTGTCCCTTTAGGGGGCTGACACTTTCCCACAGAGCGTTTTACAAGGCCTGGGCTGCATAAGAATGGGCAACAGTACCATGACCAATCGCCACTTTCACTTTACTCATCCACACGCGACTTTACCACCATTTTTCACTGTGCAGATGAACTTTAGGAGCCGTTTCATAGTGAAAAATGCTTTGGCAAAGGTCATTTGTCCTTTTGTAGACCCATAAAGAACAGATCCCTATGCAGTCTTTTTTCCTGTCTCGCATTCCAATGGAATCTCTACGCACTATTTAAAACACTTGATTGAAAACTAAAGCAGTGAATGAAAATGACTTTTATAGACTCCTTTAAGCTCATCTTCCCCTCTAACCTTTTCTACCTGAAAAGAGAGTTAAGAGCATGAGAGAAGTATATAGACAAACTTGTTGAATGCACAGGTCACATAATCAACTGCTGCGATTGTTTATTAACCAAGGCCGATACACAATTTTCAATGTGACCTATTAATTGGCCGTTTAACATGGAGATATTGAGAAGCAATGGAAAAACGGAAACCGTGACTAAACCTTTTTCTCACTCCTTGAGTCCTTCAAGGTGGTCCTCTACGATGGCAAATTGATAATGTTATACACATCAAGAAGACATTTATCACTTCTTCTGCCAGTAACAAATGTACAACTATTCTAATTCTCTTCCTATTATACTTTGGAACATTCTGTTAGAAATTATTAATTTTATTTACACAGCGGCAATTAATATTCCACAATGTGTTACAATATTCAAAGTTAGAATAAAATTGTAAGCAACTGACAGGCAAAATCAAGTAGAACCACAAAGGGGAAAGGGACCTTCTCAAATGAGCTTACAGTCAAGGAGAAATTATAAATGCAAATATTTTTATTCATTATTTATTATATATATATATATATATATATATATATATATATATTAAATAATTTTCAAATATCCCTAACTTTACATCTCAGAGATAACATCTCATAGAGATTCTTCTTTTTGCAAGTTTACATTAGACTTGTGAATGGTGAAAAAAATTCAGTTCGCCCAAATCGATTTGTCATTTTGGCATATTGGTTTAGCCAATTTTCGCTCATAAATTAATCATTTTGAGAAACACAATTAGGACAGACCAAAAGGACATGAAAATGGGCTAATCCACATACTGTAAAATGTATACGTGGTATAAATATTATGCATATATTTTGCAGTACACCAATACGTATATTTTCCTGCCATTTACGCAGCTCATAGTTTAAAGGACCACTATAGTGCCAGGAAAACTATAGTGCCCTGAGGGTGCCCCCACCTGCAGGGTCCCACTCTCGCCGGGCTGAAGAGGGAGAAAGAGGTTAAAAACTCACCTTTCTCCACCTTTCTCCAGCTGGGGACCTCCTCCTCCTTTGGCCGTCATCGTCTGAATGCGCATGCGCGGCAAGAGCCGCGCACACATTCAGCCAGTCCATAGGAAAGCATTCTGTGAGTAAAGCACGGAAGCGCCTCTAGCGGCTGTCAATGGATTGACCCATTTGTAAAAATAGCTGTTTCTCTGAAACTGTTATGTTTACAGCAGAAAGGGTTAATACTAGATGGACCTGGCAGCCAGACCACTTCATTAAGCTGAAGTGGTCTGAGTGCCTATAGTGGTCATTTAAGTGAGAAAATAACCAATAGAGTTAAAAAAGAAGGAGCAGTAAAATAATGTATATGTATATATTTTATATTTATTACATTTAATATAATATGTTATTTACAGGAAGTGAACCTGCCAGAGATATGCCAGTGTTGACACAAGATTCAAACACCAAAGTGCGCCGTGTTATCTTAAGAAGGGCGGTCTTCTCGGAAGACCAGAGGAAAGCACTTGAGAAGATGTTTCAAAAACAAAAATACATTAGCAAGGCTGATCGGAAGAAGCTTGCGTTCAACCTTGCTTTGAAGGAGTCACAGGTATGGTGCCCTTAAACTGAAATAAATAAAAATATGATTCTGAATATAAAGTTTGAAAGAATCAAAATATAACTGTGTAACCCCAAATGCGCTAAATACATATTTACACACATCCTGCAGAAATTCTAATACCCTTATAGCAATTTTGGGTTGCAACAATTTGTTTATAGAATCAATCTTAAAGGAACACTATTGTGACAGAAATGCAAACATGTATTCCTGTCACTATAGTTATGAAAACACCTTTTAGGCCCCCTGTCAGTGAAAGGTGATTTTAGTCACATATCTTCCAGCGCTGCGCGGGTCTGTCGCAGCTGCCACGCCCCCTTGGCTGAGATCATCAAACGTAATAATCTCAGCCAATCCAATGCTTTCCTATTGTGCTTAAAAATGCAGTGTTTACATTAAAAAGCCTGAAAGGACAGGCTATAGACACCAGAACAACCACATTAAGCAGTAGTGGTTCAGGTGACTATAGTGTCTCTTTGAGTTTATATGAGAGGTATTGTGATTTGTTGATATGATACAAATATTCAGATAGAGAAAATCTAATAGTGCTTGGCAAAACTTTCTTACAAGTATAGAATTCAAATTTCCTTAACCGTACCTAAATTGAATAAATCTGAAGCCGAGTTAAACTCACCTACATGCACAGCTTGATTATTTTCAATTCATCAAAAATACACTATTTAGTCAGTAAACCCTTCACATGTGTGAATACCACGGTTAGTCTCTGTCTATGCTTATATAGATTGCAGTGTGTTTATTTCTGCATGAAACATAGCACAATTTAATGCAAGCAGGAATAAAGAGATACACATTGGGCAAAGATTCATAGTACTACAGCATTAATATAGGTCTTTATTCCTTCATGCATTAAATTATAAGTCGTTTGCTTTTCTATAAATATAAAAGTTCTACACATAGTAAAAAGCAGCATTATGACATTTAAAATAAACATATTCATGGCTTTGTTACAGTGATAGTAACATATACATATAAACATTTAGAATAAAAAAAAATACGTATATGTTATTGTAATAACTAGTATTTATTTATATAGATGTTATTATTACCCAATTGATGGTATTCATTTTATCAACCTCAGAAGGATGAAGGGCTCAGTTGACCCTTCCAGGATTTGAACCTGTAACCTTGCAGGGAATTTACCAACTAAGCTACCTCACTGAGCTACAAGTGTTTAAGGCAGCTGTAAACATAGCCACACTACCACCACACAATGCAATTGAGGGATGCAATTGGATCATATTGGGGTACAGATGCAGTGATTTCCGCCTCCATTGATGTACTTTTAACTCTAGCCAATGGCATAGCAGTAGGGCCAAAATATAAAATCATAAAATGTAAAAATATAAAATAACCTTGTATCTATAATTTCCTAGCAGCGTGGGTAGCACAAATATATAGATTACATTTTATGCTAGACTTCAAATCGTTCGTCATCACACAAGCAATTTAATGCAGGGAAACTTGTCATGTGGTCAAATATAAAGAAAAAAAACAGAAACGTGAAGGACTTAGTACTTTGTTTATCAACGATGCTGCTGACCATATTATATTTCTTTACTACGACGTTTGTTTGCTGCCAATAAATATTATATATCTATTTATTGCACTTATATCTTTTTTTGTTTTCCATATATTTATTCTTACGCCTCTCTGTGTTATATAGTGATTCATTTGATGCATTCATCAATCATAGTTATCGATCATCTATTGATCACAACACGTGGAGTAAAAATGAGGTGGTCTCACAAATACTCACAGCTATCCGTCGATTGATTATTTTTCGCCAACTATGTTGTTTTAGTAAATTATTCATTAATAATACTAGATACTGTATTGTTTTTCATTCTGACATAACACTTGATACTGATATATTGTTGTTGATTATATCTTTCAACAGGTCAAAATATGGTTCCAAAACAGGAGGATGAAATGGAGAAATTCAAAAGAAAAAGAAGTTCTTTCAAAAATGTGCTTAAAGGAAGAGATGGCAGAACAGAAGCTCTCAAGAACTGCATCAAGTCTTCACGTCTACCCCGCTGAAAGGGATTTAAGTAATATGCAGCAACTCAAAAAGATCAAGACAAAATTACCATGCAATGCGAAATCATCATCATCATTATCAGAGCAACCGTTTGGGAGCACTAGACAATCGCCTGTAAATCTGGGCTCTCATTGCCGGGGAAGCAAGCTTGAATTGCAGAACAACTTTCACACTAAAATCTAAGTGTTCTGACGTTAACTAACTTTTAAAGTGCGTAAAATGACATGGACGTACAAAGGACACTTTTTAGAAAAATCTGTGCAAGACGTTATATCCGACACCGCATTTTAAATGAAAACTAACACGATAGGATCAGTAACTATATTATTTGTAGAATTTGTTTTTAATACATTTTTAGAATGTCTCTAAAACAAAAAAAATTTATATTTCTGATTTTAAAATTACATTACTATAGTATGTATACATTTAATACAAGAAACTATACCGTGAAGGAGAAATAATTCAAATAATTTTATAGGTATAGATTTCCATAAAATGCAGTTCTTAGATAATTTTAATTCTAATGACTGTCAATGTGTCCAGAGCAAGTATGGATACCAGTTTTGTAGAATGGTAGCAAAAATGTGCTGTTGCCTGTTTCCTGATTAGAATCTAACGAATAGAGGATTCTTTGTACACATTAGGATATATTTGCAGGCTGCAGTAACATACTGTTCTACAAATGCTCTAAAGATGCTCGACAAAGAAAATAGTCACCTTTTGTCATACTATCATGACCACACTGGTATTTAGTATTCTTGATATGTGACTACTGAGTAGTGGACAATAAAACTACTGTATGCATTATTCTACTTTCAGCTGTGTGATCTGAGCTACATGGGGGCAGCAGGAATGTAAGGTAATGTAAGGTGATTAAAATACATTTCTTATATTTCAGTTTTGTTTATTTTTTACAGTGAAAATTGAGTGTTACTTAAAGAAAGCTTTGCATCATCCGAAATAATCTATTTTTCTATTAAAAATATTTACACAAAAAATATTTTGTTTTAATTTTTGTCAATCCATAATCATATATATCCTTTAACACTCCTAGAAAATCGTAAATACCATGTTACTATACGTGTCTTAAAATGTAATTTGCCATTACTACTAAATTTATTTATGCTATATACAGATTAACATGCTAAATATATTACAGGGACATTATAGGCACTCACGTTTCATAGCTGAGATATGTAGTCTGCATTACAGTTAGTTATGATCTTAATACTTGGTGTGATTTTAAATAATTAAATAATATTTTCTGCTCCACAAACACTACTGTGTTGGGTTTCTGGAAATTTTACTCCAGCTATCATCTACAGTGGAAAGTTGACAATTTTACAAGAATCTCTTAGTGTGCCCTTAAAGAGCTGTTTATGGGATAAACTTGTCTATACAACATTAAAAGAGCACTAACGTCACCAAGGCCACTTCATCTCAATTTAATTCAATGCTTTCTTTGGGAAGATTGGATGCACATGCAATGAACTTCCTGTATGAGGACCACTGGATTGGACCATCGTCAGTTGAGAAGGAGAGGTGTATTGCTACAAAAAGGTAAGTAAATTAATCTTATAGCACATGGGATGGGGGAACTAAACTAGATAGGGACACTCTAGCATTAGGAATACTGGTTTGTATTCCTAACGCTTTGGTACTTGTTTAAATTGACATTTTTGGCTGAGCCACCTCTTTGTCTGGGCAAGACACTCTACACAAGCTGCAAAGCCTAAAAATGTGCATCAAATGCAGTACCGTCAAATGTGAGCTATTTAATTTACATAATTGTATAATGTATTATATAATGTAATAAAAAATTGGTCAGCTCTAACCTTGAATGCAACAGGAAAGGAAAAATTTGAAACATACCATTTGGTATTACTAAAAAACAAAAAGCTTTTACCTTTATATTAAATTTTATTTGAGTTCAAGTGAAAAAAAAAACATTTTCGTGAGCAGTCTCAATAATAAGCAGGGCCATTCTAATTCAAGCATTTAATTTATGGTTGTGTTAAGATAGTATTAGCTCAGTGCATAGCCAGCGCATGCAAGGCCTATGAACTATGCATTATAAGATAAATTGTGACGTCTGAAGATGAATTACTTGTGCTGCGACTATAATATGTTTTATCACATGAAACAGAAAAACCACAGAACATAACTTCTGACTCCCACAAATATTTACTGTGAATTCAGTGACAGGTGACTAATTATCACAAAAAAAACTAATTGTCCAGTGGAAATGTTATCTCACGGCAACAGCCAACAGTACAGAATTGGAAATGTCCCCACTTTCAAAAGAATACACTTCATATTCTAAGGGTATTATTTATTCATTCAACTGGGATTAAATCAATTGCAAATATTTACAAAAATTTTAGATGTTTTTTTGGGTGGGGGGGCTAGTAGGATGCAATGAACAAATATGAATAGCAATGAATTATTAAAAAAGTGAAAATATAGTGAAGAATGAAGCATATAAATAAATTGTTTTATGATAAACAGGTTTTTTAATATAAGTGTCACGTGATAATAATGCCATTTCAATGTAATCCTTAATATCTATGTATACCTTCTATATGTACTAAATTTGGTAAAACCCACAGGAAAAAAATATGACCTGTGCACTTCCCAAATCCCTATGCATATTTAATGGCCATTTGATGTAAGCCCACCTGCCACATCAAGGCAAACCTCTTAGGTGGGTCCTACACTAACAATTCACCTGGCTTCCTTGAGGCAAAAATCTCTAATGAGACAGAGAGGGGAAGTTTTCTAAACCCCCACACTTATTAACCCTTAATAGGGAACACACGGGGAAAGCGCGAGCATTGTAACATAGCTGTGTGATGTAAAAAGGAATACAAATGTACAAAAATTGAGCTCAGGACTTATTTATGTGTATGTTATATACTTAATTGGCTTGAAAATTGTTTATTTCTTAAAAATTTAAAAATTATTACATAACAAAACATCAATATAAAACTGAAACAACACTGGTCCGTATTCATATTCGAGCCATTGCAGTAGAAAATCTGATGTATGTTTCAGTGTAATATGAGTAGAGCATATAGCTTTATTGCAGGTTCATTTGACCCTATTATCTCTCTCTCTTCCACAGTCTAAGTTAAAACTTACCCTGCTTCAGATCAGAACAGAACTCAATGCCCTCCTACCCTACCTCCCCCCACCCAACCATCATCATCTTATCATTTATAGGTAATCGCCTACGCAAATTCTGCAGCAATGGCAGCTGATCACAAATCACTAAACACTAATTAGCACATTCCTGCATTTTCATAATCCCTTACAATCCATCCCTACTATCCCTACTCATTTTACATTCTAAACTAATACTATATACTCTCCTCCCAAACAATGTACACCACTGCATCTCTTCTCCTCAACACATTTTTCCAACTTGTATTTTATTGGGTTGTATAATCATGAACAATGCATTGACATGTATACATAGCTCAACATAGTAATATGGATTATAATAGAAGAATAACACATTATTACATTGTCAAGAATCAAGAATGTCACACAATTGGTATGCTTTTGCAGATGCTTGATAGAAAATGAGATACATATATCCGATTGGAACATGGTCCTTGTTTGGAGAATAATATTTCCATTCTTTTCTATTTGCATCCTTTAATTCAGTGTCACTACATATTAAAGACAATTATAAAAAACATATAATGTAGTCCAATTATACAATTTTCTTAACTGAGAAAAATAAAACAATAGAGTTTGTGTCATCAAGATACATAATGCTACCCTTATAATTGCTGAGAAATCGACTTAAAAGTACAGACAAGTTAAAGAAAAGTGTAGCCATGTAACTATCTTACTGTATGACTGAAATTTCCATTCAATTGTTTAGGGTTTCTTGTGCATGTGACATGTCCTATGAGTATCTCTCCCCTGGCGTTTTTGTTTAGTGTACTATGTGTTGAAACTTCTAAAATGTGTTTTTTTTTTATTTTTCTCCTCACCACTTTTGACCTACTCCCCCATCTCCAAGTCTACTTGTCTGAGCAATGCTCTGTCTTCTCTTCCCTTTCCTCCCTTATGATCAAATTCACTCCTTACCCCTACTTCCTTCAACCTGCAAACAACATCCACATTTCCCCCTCTCTCCAACCTCTCCTTAACCTCTCAATACCAATCAATTGACAAATCCTGCCACATCTATTGAAAAAATATAGCTTGCATCTGCCCCTATTTAATGCCAGATGCTCCCAAAATGCTGGTCCATGTTGTTATTATCTCTGGCCTTGACTACTGCAATCTTCTTCTCAGTGGTCTTATGCGTTCCTAGCTGGCCCAGTTACAGTCTACAATGAATGAGGTGTTGAGGCTTATCTTCCTGTCTGCCTGCACCTTCCATGCCTTCCCCCTCTACACTGACTTCTCGTAAGATATAGGGCTCAATTTAAAATGCTGGTACTTGCTTACAAGTCTCTTCACAATGCGGCTCCTACTTATTCTCACTAATACACAATAATGTCCAATCCAGGCTGAGACTCTCAGCTGAAGATCTGCATCTAGTCTCTGTTCCTACTTGCACCTTTGACACCTCAAAGACTTCTCTAGGGCCGCATGACCCTATGGAACTCCCTTCCCTGCTTTGTTAGACTCTCACTCATTCTCAGTTCCTTCAAAAGATTATTAAATACTCCTTTCTTTAGGGTCCAGCTCGTCTTGCTGCAATTATATGTCTGTTAATGCACCTATTGTACAGTGCCTATTGTAAGGTTGGAATTTAGACATGTGAAATTAGTTTTGGGCCGAATATGTATTCGGACGAATTTCAGGCAACTCGGACATTCGGGTACTTCCGAATGTCCGAATAGCCGAAGTGCCGAATTGCCAAAGTGCCGAATTAATGAGGTCCCAAAGTTCCGAAATTACCGACTTTCCGAAGTGCCGAAGTTCCAAAGCACAGTTTTGACCAAGTACTAATATAATAACCCAGTGGAAGAAGAAGAATGTTACACTGTATACAATTTTAAATAAAAAGTATACAAACATAGCCAGGATTCAGCTGTAAGCATTTGCAACACTTACAACAATCAAGTAACACACATTCATATAAAATGTAAGTTACTTGGCCTGTCAATTGAATGACAGGAATGAATAAGTAGATAACTCCCTAATTCCCACGGTATTAGGGAGCTATCTACTAAAAGGCTGAAAGACCTGAATTGGGGCCCTAAATACTAATTGAGGGGGACCTTAAGTCCTCCCCCCTGGCTCCCACCCCTGAGCGGTGGGTGGGGGCCCTAAATACTAATTGGGGGGGACCTAATGTCCTCCCCCTGGCCCCCACCCTTGAGCGGTGGGTGGGGGCCCTAAATACTAATTGGGGGGCACCTAATGGCCTCCCCTCTGGCCCCCACCCCTGAGCAGTGGATGGGGGCCCTAAGTACTAATTAGGGGAGGACCTAATGTCTTCCCCCTGGGCCCCCACCCCTGAGCGTCGGGTGGGGGCCCTAAATAAAAAAAATAACCCCCCCTCCCGCAGGTGACTAGGGAACCCCAAACCCATAGTCACCCCTTTCCCCCAAAAAAATAACCCCTACCTACCCCCTCACCCTAAAAATAATAAGGGGGGGGGCATTTAACTAAGTACCTGTAAACAAATAAAAATAAACTTACCATTTGATGTTTTCTTTCTTCTAAAATCTTCTTTTTTCAGCCCCAAAAAAGGCCAAATAAAAAGCCATAATAACCGACACAATTAAAAAAAAGAAAGAAAAAAAAAAGAGCGCAAAAAAAAATCCATCTTCACCCGGCGAGGGCTCCGCGCAGACTGAGCTCTGCAGGGTGGGGGAAGGCTTATAAAGTAAATGAAGAGACTGACAGTTAAGTCTCTACATTTACCTGTCACAGCCTTTTTTGGGGCTGAAAAAAGAA